TACCCCATAGGATTTCCAAGGAGCGGCTGGTGGGTTCGGACTGCCGACTTTTAGTTGGCAGCTGAGCTCTTAGCCACTGCACCACCAGGATTCCTGTGTGTGTGTAGGTGTATATATATATATACACAAAGGAGTCCCTGGGTGATACAGCGGTTAATGTGTTCAGTTCCTAACCAAAAGATTAGTAGTTTGGGTACACCCGGAAGTGCCTCAGAAGAAAGGCTTGGAGACCTCTTTATAAAAACAAACAACCCAATTAAAAAATGGACAAAAGGTCTGAACAGACACCTCACCAGAGAAAACAATTACCGGACGAGGAGATGCTCCACATCACAAGTCACTAGGATTACACATTCGAACAATGACCCGCCACTTCACACCTATTACAATGGCTAAACTCCAGAACGCTGACAGCAAATGCTGGCGAGGACGCAGAGAAACTGGACCTCCACCCACGGCTGGTGGGCACGTAAAATGGTGCAGCCGCTCCGGAAAGCAGTTGGGCAGTTTCTTAGAAACTACTTGAACGCTTAACATACAACTCAGCAATTGCACTCCTGGGCATTTACCCCAGAGAAACGAGGACTTATGTTCACACAAAACCTTGTACGTAAATGTTTATAGCAGCTTTATTTATAATAGCCAAAAACCGGGACCGACACAGATGTCCTTCAACAGGTGGAAGGCTAAATAAACTATGGTTCGTCCATACCATGGAACGTTACGTCGTCAGCCGCTGTTGAGTCAGCCTCCGACTCATGGCAACCCCATGTACAAAAGGGATGGACAGTTGTGACCTACAGGGTTTTCCTTGGCGGATTTTTAGAAGTAGACCCAGTCTTAGTCTGAAGTTCCACAGAAACCTGTTCAGCATCCTAGCAACACATCCCCTGACAGACGGGTGGTGGCTGCATTTGAGGTATATTAGCCAGGAATCAAACCCGGGTCTTCTGCACAGAAGGCGAGAATTCTACCCCTGAACCACCACTGTCCTCCACCACGGAATACGTATCAACAATAAAAAAGAACAAGCAACTGATACATGGAACAACTTGGATGAATCTCTGGAGAATTATGCTGAGTGAAAAAAACGCCAATCCCAAAGATTACGCTCCGTCTGAATTTCATTTAAACAATGTTGTTGAGACTAGAAAATTACATAGAAGGAGAACAGATCAGTGGTTTGCCTGAGTTCAGGGTCTGGGGTGCAGGGAGCGGAGGCCCACGTGGGGGAACAGGATAGACCCCTAAGGAAATGGAAACGTCCTGGATTTTTTTTACTGTATCTGTGTCAATTTTCTGGCTGTGACATTGACTAGAGTTTTACAAGATGTTACCCTTGGAGGCAACTGGGTAACGGGCACAGGAGATTGCTCTGGATTATTTCTTAAAACTGCAAGAGAACCTACGATGATCTCCAAATAAAGTTTAACTAAAGCTAATGACCCTCACCCATCTGTCGGTGTGTCATCCATGGTGGCTTGCATGCTGCTGTGATGCTGGAAGCTGTACCACTGGTATTTTAAACACCAGCAGGATCACCCGTGGTTGGCAGGTTTCAGTGGAGCTTTGAGACTGAGACAGACTAGCAAGAAAGGCCTGGAGATCTACTTCCAAAAATCAGCCAGTGACAGCCCTATGGATCACAACAGATTATTGTCCAATACAATGCTGGAAGATGAGAACCAATGAGTCTAACACAGTACCCTGTGGATTCTTGCAGCCCAGGGAGTCAGCCGTGGCGTCAGGCCGGCTGCGCTCAGGGTGCACAAGGCGGGAGCAGAGCACTGTCACCTCTCTGAGACTCGTCGCCTGGCAGGCCTCTCGCCCGACAGCAGCCGCTTCCTGCGTCTCTCCCCAAGAAAGCACCCCGCTTGCCTGCTATCTGCAGGCCTCTCTCCTGCCCCAGGAGAAAGCCATCTACTCCTGAAAACGCAGCCACGGAAAACCCTATGGAGCGCAGTTATGCGCTGACGCCCGTGTGAGTCGCTCCGAGTCGGGGTCGTTGGTTGGTTACAGAAGAGGTGGCTGTGCTTCCGGTAGGGCAGGGCCCCGCACCCACGTCAGATTTTCAAATGTTTAAAATAACTGCATCAGTCACCCATCTTTACAAATCCAATTCCATAGAATAATTCTAATTGTCCGCTTCTCTCAGAAAACTGAAGGCTGACAGTCCCCCAGCACCAATAAGCTAGACCCGGCGCAGCTGCCGCTCTCAATGGGACCCGCACTCTGTTCCCTCCAGCTCTGCCCAGCCCCCCTGAGCGTCTGCATTTGGGGCCCTGATCCTGGCCAGCCCCAGCTGTGCAATCCAGGAATCTGAGCTAGAGAGATGGAGTGACTGACTCAGAGCCACTCAGTAGTGTCACCAAGTGCAAACTGAGTGTTATCGGAAAAACGGTGCCCCCCAAAGATATATGTTGAAGCTCTGACCCCTGTAGCCGTCAGTGTGACCTTATTTGGAAATAGGGTCTCTGCAGACATTATCAGTTAACAGGCGCGGTGCCGGAGTAAGGCGGGTCCGGAGCCCATAGGACTGGGTGTTTCTGTTGGATGCTGTCCAGTCGTTTCCGACTCACAGTGACCCCCATGTGACACAGTAGAACTGCCCCATAGGGTTTCCTAGGCTGTCATCTTTGTGGGAGCAGATCACCAGGTCTTTCTCCCTCGGAGTGACTGAGTTGGTACAAATCACCAACCATTCAGTTAGCAGCTGAGTGCTTAACTGTTGTGCCACCAGGGCTCCTTTCTACTGGAGAAGGGTGAGCCTTAATCCAATAGGACTGGTGTCCCTATAAAAAAGGAGAAGAGATACAGACATAGGGGGAGGGTGGCCACGTGAAGACGGAGGCAGACTGGAGCGATGCGGCCATAAGCCAAGAAACGCCTGGGG